TGGATTCTTTGATTTTTCGTTTGTTTATGTTTAGTTCTTTGTTTAAAATGACAGTGTTTTTAATAGATTTACTATGGTTTTTTTGAGTGAACATAACATGGGATGTTTTTTTATTGTGTTCTGTCAATCTGGTTTCCAATTTTCTTCCTGTTTCTCCAATATAGAATTCTGGGCAGTTATTGCATGTTATTTTGTAAATGATGTTGGTATTTTATGATTCTAAATAATTTTTGTTTAGTAACGATTTTACTTTAGGACTAGGTTTTTGTGAGAATTTGACAGGAATATTATTTAATGGCTAGTTTTGTACAAGTGTGGATAATTCTTGAGCTGGTTTCAGGAACAAAAGGTAAACTGCAGTGTAAGGTTCTGTTGTTGGGTTTGTTAGTATCAATTTTGTTCATGAGTTGAGTTTTGTTGTGGGGAATGTTGGAGAGTATGTGGTTAATTTCTTCATTTATGTAGTCCGTTGAACATAATCTTGTGTCTGAGTTTATGAGGTTTTTAAGTGTATTGATTTTTTGTGTGGTGTCATGAGCGGAATTCCAGGGGATGTAGAGGCCAGTGTGTGTGCGTTCTTGTGGTGAATTTTGGTTTTAATGTGTGTCTGGTCTAATAATTTTGAGGTTAAGAAAAGATAACTGTTTACTGTTTTCGTGTTCTATGGTAAATTTGATGTTGGGATAAATGGAATTTATGTGTTCAAAGAAAGTTAGTGTGTGTGTTCTGTAGAAGTGAAACCAGCAAAAGTGTCATCGACATATCTGTACCAGTATAGTGGGGGATGAAGCGCAGAACGTATGGCTTGTGTTTCAGTCTGGGTCATAAATATATTGGCAAGAACAGGAGAAACAGGATTGCCCATACTTAAACCATCTATTTGAAGGAAATGTTCGTTGTTGAAAATGAAGTTGGTTTTAGTCATTATAAATTCTAAGAGAGAAGCAAAAAGTGTGTTCATTTTTTTCAATGAGGTATGAATACTACAATTAGTAATTTCTAGCACAAACAGCCACCCATAGCATTTCTGCTATTCCTATAGTACCTGCATTACCTATAAATCAACTTCTTTTAATAAACAACAACCCTTTAAAAACATATTACATAACGTCCTGCCATAAAGTACATTTTTTCTTAATAATCACACTTGGCTTTTAACATTATGCTTAAAGATGGACATTTTATTATTCACTATGATATCATGGCTTTAAAAAGTCTCCTATAACATTCAAAATTGTGTTATCAAAATGTCAAGATAATATGCTGGTGACAATATTTCAATGTAAACCAATGTTTTTATTAAGCCTTGTTTAATCTTCTTTCTTCTAAAAATCAAGCTTCTAATTTTAAAAACACAAATAGAATAAAACAATAAACTAACAAAATATAAGAATACCTTCTTTCATTTTGTGTAATGGATCCTCTTTCTAGCTTACTATATATACTGACTAAAACTTTACATGCATCATTAGCAAAATCAAGGTCTCGAACTTCTGTGGCAGAAACAGGGAGAATAGCAAATGCTTCTTTATCTTCTTTCACTGGTGCACACCCCACCTAAAATATTTAAAATAATTTAACACTTTGCTCATCTGCATTTCTTAGAAATACCCTACACAATAAATAATTATGTATTTACAATAAAAGCAAAATCCAAAGTCATAAAGAAATTGAAATTCTACTTTTTAAATCAATACTAGGTAAAGCTATGGGGAAGTGTAAAACAAAAACAAGAAACAAGTCTTACCAAAACAGACTCTCATTTAAAAGTATACAGTAAGCTTTGTGGTACCTAACGTTTAAGCAGCAACATTTCTATATTTGAACGTGTACGTCGTTCAAGGAGAAGAAATATTAACTATAATTCGAAATATACAAAATATATCTTCATGAAATGTGGCAGGCTTTTAATTGGCAATACAAGTCTGATGTATACAAAATATCAAATGTCTTACTAAAATTTTTGTACTAAAGATATATCTGTGAAATGCCAAAGTCAGACCGACTCAAACAAGTCGGTGTGCAGAGTTACGTTCAGTGAAGAGTAAGGTACTTTTGCCTATCTTAAAGTTTGTAAATTGTGTTTGCATAGCATCTACAACCTCCTAAGTACATTTGATGACGAGGAACCCACTTTGACATTAATAATGCTTGGAGACGGCTTGAATGGGTAATGAAGAAAAACTTTAAAGTACATATCTAACGTATCTCTGTATATTGTATTTAGTATATATTCACCTCAACCATGAATTGTCACTAAATCAGTAACGTATGGTAACATGAAAATTTGATAACACAGACATCAATTGCATAATACTGCAGTCAATGGCACTCTGTACAAGGTAGCGTCACGCACACTTTGACCTCCACCCATGCACGTAGGATCAAAAAGTATAAAATGTAAAACAATGCTGCTACAGATCTTAAGTGTATATCTGTTGGGAGTCAAAGGTAAGAAGGACTGAAACTGATATAGTGGTCCTAACAGCTACACAAAGGTAAGAAGGACTGAAACTGATATAGTGGTCCTAACAGCTACACAAAGGTAAGAAGGACTGAAACTGATATAGTGGTCCTAACAGCTACACAAATGTAAGGAATGAAATTGATATAGTGGTCCTAACAGCTACACAAATGTAAGAAGGACTGAAACTGATATAGCAGTCCTAACAGCTACACAAATGTAAGGAATGAAACTGATATAGTGGTCCTAACAGCTACACAAAGGTAAAGACTGAAACTAATATAGTGGTCCTAAGAGCTACACAAATGTAAGAAGGACCGAAACTGATATAGTGGTCCTAACAGCTACACAAATGTAAGGAGGACTGAATCTGATATAGCGGTCCTAACAGCTACACAAAGGTAAGAAGGACTGAAACTGATATAGTAGTCCTAAGAGCTACACAAATGTACGAAGGACTGAAACTGACATAGTGATCCTAAGAGCTACACAAATGTAAGAAAGACAAACAGATATAGTAGTCCTAAATGCTACACAAATATAAGCAGGATTGAAGCAGATATAGCAGTCTTAACAGTTACATAAATGTAAGCAGGACTGAAACAGATAGAGAAGTTCTGTTTGTTTGTTTGTAATTATGCACAAAGGTACACAATGGGCTATCTGTGCTCTGCCCACCACGGGTTTCAAAACCCAGTTTCTAGTGTTGTAAGTCCACAGACATACCGCTGAGCAACTGGGGGGCAGAGAGGTTCTAGCATTTACACAAATACAAGCAGGGCTGTAAAACAGAAACCATACCTTTGACATCATGGGCTTATCTTCACTCTTGTCAATTGGAATATTTGTACTATGAACCCAAGTATTTGTACATAAGTGACGAAGTCTCACATAGGAAGATCTGTTTAAAAAAATGACGATCAATGAAATTTCATACCAGTTCCAAGCACAAGATATCTTACAAGGCTATTTTTTCAAAACTTAATGCACAAAAACCTCTTCAATGTAAAATTTAAAACAAACATATTACTTAATTCTTCACACCTGGGTAATCGGTTTCATAATTTTAATTTTAAAATATGCTGCTAATAAGAAAATATTCAATATATACATGTATTATATTAAACTCTTGCAATTGCTATTATTTCTCTAATATTACATTCTTTCCTATATATTGTTTTAACCTCGATTCTTCCACTGTTTTCTTCAGTGCAATTAACTAATTGAAAGATATCTCTTAGTCCTTCATCTGAACAGAAGTGCTGAATATCTTTAAAAAAAATTAAATACAATAATAAACTTATAACAAAGTCTTATTACTGAACAAAATATTTTATGGTTTTCTTATTATTTTCACTGTAGCTTATTGTTTTGTAAATAAACTTACAGCTGACCTACTAGGGAAGCCGTCAGCAAACTGCAGCTTGCAAGCCGCATGCGGCTCTTTAAGGAGATTTACGCAGCTCTCGGGCTATCTCCTGATGTTAGCATTGTAAATCTGAAGACATGCGGATGTCCCACTGGGGGATTTTTTTTTTTCTTGGTCTTACACAAAAACAAAAAAATAAAAAGTACATAAAACCACTTCTCTACATCAAATTATATCTACCCTACAAGGGCAGAAACAAAGTGTAAATATAATCTAATGACTACAAGGAAAAGGAATATTTAGAAAGCTGAAACAACTATCCAAAAATGCCAAACAAGATTTCTCAAAGATGTTTTCATACTATTATCTGTTTGCAAAAATTGCTTCTAAAAATTAAATATATGTTGAAAATCTACATAATAATAAAAATGTAATACTTCTGATGTTTTAAATTTTGGCAATTTAGATTAACCATCCATAAAGCACAAATTTGCAACTTATTTACAACCACAACCTGATAAACAACTTGCCAATGAAGTTGTGGGAGGCATAATGAATGCTAAGTATTCCAAATGGAATATAAAAAAAAAATACACCATCTCTTAATGTATACATAAATATTTTACACATGTCAGAAATTACATTACTTCCTGGTTCAAAGTTAGAGATTAAAAAATGATAAAGAAAGAGGATGATAGTTCTAACTCATCTGGAGGTTTTCACAATACATATAACAAAAATTAATTTCATTTAAAGCTACAGTAAACTTCTTAAATATATGCAACTTAACAACACATTCTGTAGAGTGCCAAGAGCTATATGCTAAAAGTGTTTCTTATTGTATTTCTATGTTTATTTCGTGTACTTAGTATGGATTAACTTTGTATTTTATTTTTAATCACACAGACCTTTTGGTAATTCATTTATTTACACTTTAAGTGTGGGAGTTTTTTTTTGTTGTTTTTTTTTATGTGTAATCTGATGAACAGCTATGTTAAATATTCTTTTTAACTGGCAAATCAAATTACTGTTATGTTAGTAGTATTGTAAGTAAGCTGCATGGATAGTCCAATCAATTCAAATAAAACATGGCTAATCGTTACACTTAATTTTTACGTCATTCCAGTGACTCATACATAGTTGTATACTGAAACTCAGAATTAACTCCAACTCTGCTCTTGCATACTCACTGAGGAACTAAGTCATCGCCTCTTGTTAATGTGGTAGCATCCAGTTCAAATATGGAGGCTATATCATTGGAATGAGGCACAGACACCAAACAGTACACTTGAACACCAGGAGAGCCTCTAAGTTTAGACCGCATAGGATCGGAAGTAGAATCATCATCCACCTCGGCAGCAAGGTACTGTCCACTGGCTAAGTGTTTAAACCTATAGAGGCTATTCCAATGGCCAGCTCCACCTCTACATGGGTCATGTTGTACAACCTGAAACAGGATTTCATTCACTAATACAAGGATACACTAAAGTTCTCTGTTCAACTTAATAACAGACACAGAAGGGTCAAGTTATCAAATATATTAGAATTAACAAATAATGTTTAATTTTTAACTTTCGACTTCATTAGACCAAATATCTATTAAAAAAAAGCTTTCTTTCCTTTACAACAGACATTCCCAACCTGGAGAACATGTACCCCCAGGGGTACATTTGCACTTCTCAGGGGTACATAGGG